TATTTTCATTATATATTCACATCTCTTCTTCGGATTGTTTGTGTTGATTTTTTATGTGTTTGTTGTGAAACAATCATCTAAGCTTATGTTTATGTATGAACATCTGTGTATATGTTTCTACAGATTATGTAATTGTCTTGTTTGGGTTGTAGTAATATTTTTGTCCGAATAGAGGCCAGTGTCAGAATTTGCTCATCGCAATCGTATTTAGGTATGACCCCTTACGTTGATGTGAGCATTTACATATATTAATATATTGTCTTGTAACATAACTCTTCTTGATCAAGTTCTCGTGGGCTCAATTGATAGTGTCTATAAAGCAAACTTACAATTTTTTCATATCATTATTGTTTTTTATAACACAATTATCTAATTTTATGCATTTCCATTGAAGCTAATTTTATGGATCTGCATATAATGTTAGGGATGGTTCTTCAAAAATCTTCCCAAAAATTTCTACAAATTTCGAAATTAGTTCGAAATTTCTACAAATCTGAGGTTACTTTCAAGCTTCGATTTAGGTTTTATTCAGGTTCGGTTGGTCCAAACTTTGATTAATTTTTGGGATTTCATTTACAAATAGAGGTTGGAATCTTCATTTGGATCAATCGGAACTGAAACTTCATCCTTTTTGCCACTGCTTGTTGCCGTAGACCACCTGTTGGACTGATTTTTTTTAGGGCTTGTTTAGTTGTGCTTAAAATCCAATTAAAATTGATAATATAGTCGTTATTGGGTCTCACTCGTCTAATAAAAGTCAACAATAACGGTTAGTTTTTCAATTTTAATATCTACCGAACATGCCCTTAATATTTTTTTCTCCAATTAAGATTCTCAAAAGTTTCTACAGATTTTGAAATTGGTTCATGATATACAAAGAAATCTCCAAAAATCTTGATCCCAGGTAATTTGCAAGCTTTAATTTAGGGGTTATTTTATTTTATTTTCTCCAAACAATTAGCTTTTCTTCGTTACTCCGTGCAGCACAGAGATATTCAATTCATTTTTTCACCTTCCTTTCATTTTCACTCCGCGCTACACGGTTTCACCTTCCTTTATGGATTGCCATTTTCTTTGTTACTCCGTGCAATAAGGAGACATTCAATTCATTTTTTCACCTTTCTTTCATTTTCAATCCGCGCTGCACGCTTTCACCTTCCTTTCATTTTATTTGCCTCACCCGTAAAAGGAAGAAGCCCCCGATTCTTCTCATTGACACATAGGACTGAAAGGTAATTTACTAGTCAAACATGAAAAGCGCACGAATCAGCCATGATTATAATTTTCAACTATTAACCTGAATCTAATCTTGTATTGTGATGCACATTTATTCAATTAATTACTTGTTTTTTTTGTGTGTTGGTTGTTTTTAATCTTGCTGTTGATCTGATTATAATAATGTATTTAATTTCTTGACAAGTATGAATTGTTTTTTTCTTACCAGTTTTCTATATTTTCTTGCGAGTATACAGAAACCGTACATTTGATAACTTACCATCTATGTTAACTTAAATTTAAATCATGTTATTATATATGTAAATTATTTGAAATTGTTGGCGTACTCTATGCATTATTGTTGTTACACTATGGGTCATTTTTCGAAGTTGTAACTCAATATACCACAGTATCACAAATCACCTTGATTAATGTTGTTTATCATTATAATAAGCAAGCCCGCCACCATTACCACCATACCTAGCCTCAAAAACCTCAAAACACTAACTTATCCACCCCTACTCATTGTGTATTGTTTCACTAGAGATCACAACGGAGCAGGTATGTGACGAGTCAATTATTCCCACATCCATCACGTCGAGTATTTTTGTCATCTTGCACCTTTCCCATACCCAATTAAAACGGGAGGGCCCAAACCGAGGTGTGGCGGGGCAGATCCCTGTCCCATTTATTGCACCGTTTAATTTTTTCTTTATTTATTTATTTTATTTTTTGCTTTTATTTTTTATATCTTTAGTTAATGAATATTATTACTTTTTTTTTTTTTTCAATTTGTTAAAAACAACTAGGAATGACAACATAGCGGGTATGAGACAGGTCGGTCATTCCCACCCCCGTCCCGTCAGATATTTTTATCACCTCACCTCACCTCACCCCATTCTCATATTGGTTAAAGCAAGACGGGATTGGATCGAGATGGGGCGAGACAGGTTCCTTGCCTCATTTATCGCCTCATTTATTTTTTATTTTTTTATGTCTTTAGTTAATAAATATTCTAACTTTTGTTCTAATTTATTAAGAACAACTTATGTTCTCTTTAAACATGATGATAAATCTTTATTTTTGTTAATAAAAAAACTTAATTTTAAAATAAACTTTTAATGGGGTGGGTAGCGGGGCGAGGACTATGTTTCTCGTACTTGCTTCGAGGCAATGACCCTCGTCTTGTTTACTTGATTAAACATGTAATCCACTTCTCATTCGGGGCGGGGCCCTACAGATATTGGGTAGAACGGATTTATTTGTTATCCCGAAGGACAACTTATGTCCTTTCTAAAAATGATGATAAATCTTTTATTTTTGTTTGATAAAAAGTTTAAATTTGAAATTAAGTTTAAACGTACGAGTAGTGACGCGGGGCTATGTTTCCCATACCCGTTTCGGTGCAATAACCCCTGTCCCGTCCTGACCCAAACCCCATTCGTGGCTCGGGGTATCGGATTAAACATGTTTTTTTGTCATCCTATGTTCCACATACAAACTACGGCCATCCAAACCTTAGCACAGTCATCGATCAACGCCATCCCAACCGAATTTGCACCAGCATCCCCCGTCGACACCATCGAACCAGATCTGCAGAGGTTAAAGGAGAGAGAGAGGATGTTAAAAGCAAGAGATTAGGAAAGGAGAGATAGGTCACAATAGCGAGGAAAGAATGGGTGACGGAGGTGGTGGAGATGAGGAATGGATTATCTTTGGCAGGTGTTTGTGGTAATGACAGGTCTTCCTTCCTCTTCTTGTAATTCTCTTGATGGCTCCGCCAACCGTGTTCATTGTAGATCGGGGTTCAAGGTGCATGAGTTTGGTGTTGATGCTGGTGGCTCAGATCTTTTAAGGGTGGTGGTGTGCCATTTTAAGGGTACCGGTGGTGGTGGAAAAGGATACGGAGAGGGGGATTGGAGGTTGTCGGAGAAGTGTAAATGGTAGAGACTAGAGAGAGAGAATGGAGAGGGTGGCTATTTTATGGTTAATTCAAGAAGTATTTTTGAACATTTAAATATAAAAACATGAACGAGCCTAATTTTCTTTAAATAGAATGATTCATTTTCAAGAAAGAGCAAATTGACATAAAAAGATATAAAGACGTCACTTTCGAAGTAAGTTAGTTTTTGTTAAAATCTCAATATATCCATGCATCAATTTCATTCCTCACTTCACATCGTATCTCAATCACAATACCATACATGTAATGCACATTGATTGATGTCTAGACTTTTAAACATACATAGCCTTCAATTAAGAAATTTATAGATGATTTATAAATATGCAAAATAATAGATCCCACCAAATGTATGTATAATAATGAGTACTAGTTATAAATTTGTGATTTAAATAATATTTGTCTTTAATTGAAATCATAAATAATTTATAAGTTTGTATCCCAATGGAATATTTGATTATTTGGAAAAAGTTATTGATAAGTGCAAAACTTACACTTATTTTA